GTTTGGATCGCTTTTGATGCAGCTAGACCTCCGCTATCACAGCTCGTGTGTTTTATGCGTCACACATTTACGGTGTAATGCTGTTTCAAATGGAATCGAAGCTGGCGTGGGTGTTTTGCTATTTCTAAAGCGTGGCATTGAGCACTTGATCAAGCAAATACACGTGTCAAACTTTTTGAGCAAAGTACGGTTTTCCCAGAATGCCTAATATTTACAGACGCGCGTCGGTCATGCATTTTTACATTTTAAAACATTGAGATATAGCCTCACAAATGGTTGGATATTATGGAAAAACTTGCACTGCAATGATTACAGTTTGGACGAGTAACAGCATGAAGGCATGTTAGTGGTTTCTTCATAAATTGAAACATGAATAATCCAAAGTGTGAATTAAAGTACAAGCCTGGCTTTCAGCTTGATACGCTTCGGTAATACACTCAAAGGACAGAGTAAAAGAACGCGCGACGTTTGCATTGGAAGTATTCGTTACTTTGCCTGATTTTGAACCAGCTTTTCCTTCGATGTACATTTGGATACACGGACAACTCGTCTCCTTTAGACGTAAGCAAAAGCGCTACAAAACTTCAGCCGCCGCTTAATCTCCCTTTTCCTCCACCAAAACTTATCTAGGGGCGCGCTAGTTCATCAGCAAGCAACGCCTGAATAAATAACTGCGACAGTGACGTCGCATTTATCGCATTCGCCGTCAGGGAAGCACTTGAATTTGTCTAGCTAGAAACTTGCGGCGACGATATTGATATGGTCGCCGTCTGGAGCCAAACGGATGTGCATCGCGGCACCGGCCCTGGATAAACTTCAGCTCGTTAATTTTGTTTGTTCGTGGATGAATTACGAAAGGCTGACTGGCCGGCTGTTGTTCGATGATCAATGCAGAAGATGGTAGTCATCGCTGGAGATCTCCTAAGTGGAGTCTTTCTGGGGGCAAGTTTATTTACGAAGCAACGCACATTTGGCGCTAATATTTGAGAATATAGGGATGTTCGAACGCCGAACCTTTAACGTCTCGAGCACTGATCATATCAGGTGTTCCTAACTAAAAACTGGTCCTTTCTGGGCAATGCCCGGCTGTTAGCAAGCTCTAGCCTGATCATGTAGATGCCTTCACCACCAGAGACGCAGCAAGTGTGAGGAAGCAGAGGACTTTAAATTTGTTTTGATGTCACCTAAGAATATAAAAGTGGCGGTGTCTTAAGCCACGCTATCCATGTGCGGAAGCTTTATTTTAACAGCAATAGAAACACAAATATTACGACTCCGTTTTCAGACGATGGAAAAGCGATGACAGGTATACAAGAGAGAAGGCTGAAAATATATTTCAGAATGTGTTTATGTTAGAGGAGTTAATAAATCAGAGGCGAAAATAGATGGCCCGTGATGACCGAGGGTGATGGCTTTGGGTTCGCCCGTGGGGGCCCGGGTTTGGATCCGGTTGAACCATGGTCCCTGGGCCCTGACATCAATAACAAAGTCGTTGGTGCTCATGAGAAGGACGGCGATGACGAGCTCCGAAAGCACTAATTAAGTTAAAAGTGGCATGTCCACGCTTGGCAAGTGACTGCCCTTTGTCCATCCCTGGCTACATCACCCTCACCGGTGCTCGTGCTGATTGGGGTTTTATACTGGTGACGAGGTAGTCTGGTTTATGTAGAGATATTACCTGGTTTTGCCGTTGGGACAAACCAGTCAACTACAAGCTTCCTGCCCTAGCAGTTATTTTTGGATGCTTAAGTCGTACAAAATCTTGTCGTCTCACCGGGCATTTAACGGAGCAATTTGCGCACATCTCCTGTTGAATATTTAGCGCCAATGTAATGTCGCCACATTTGCATCAGCATCCAAATAGTGCAGTATGCAAATCATCGACATGATGCCGGGCGACAGCGGCGCAGACGAAGCGGTGAAGAAAGCTCCGTCGTCTCCGCACCTTCCCGGCTAGCATGTCACGGCCTGGTACCCTCCAGGTCATCACCGTAATGGGCAAATGGCAGGCGGTTCTTCCGCACTGGAACTCTGATGAAATGGCGGCCCGACCATTTCCTGTTCATGTCGTGAGCATGCACCTTTCTGCGCCTTTAAAGAGCAGTAGCTGCAAAACAGTCCATGGAGCTGATGTGTCGCAGCTTGAAAACAATCCATGGAGTTGATGCGTCGCAGCTTCAAAACAGCCTATGGAGTTGATGCGTCGCAGCTTCAAAACAACCTATGGAGTTGATGCGTTGCAGCTTCAAAACAACCTATGGAGTTGATGTGTTGCAGCTTCAAAACAGCCTGTGGAGTTGATGCGTCGAAGCTTCGTTGCTCGAGGGGAGGAATCGTTGCAGCTGTGGGCTGTGCGGTTTTTCGATCAGTCAATCAGCTTTTGCCATCTTTCAGCGATGTAGGGATTGTGCGGCTATCACAAATTATCAGCTTTGTTGTATACACATACACGTAAGCATATATCAGTCGAGCATGTTCTTCGTCAAAATGCATGCTCTCCCCAAATGATTGTGAATAGCCGGGTGTTTCCCATCGACGGCTCAGCAGATTATTTAACTCTGGCAATGCCTTTTGTATTCGGATTGTCACCGGTCTAATTTAGCAGCCATTGTTCAATTTCACCCATCACTTCGCTCTGCTATGCTCACTTCTTGCATTGTTTTGCCCGAGCTATGTAGATTGCCTACGAAACTTAGCAGCTCTGTTGTTGACAGAATAACTTCATATGAACTAAGAGGCTTTCCGTAGCAAACCACTTCCAAATGCTCTCTGATCCTGGATTCAGAGCTGAATAATTAAATTGCTTTCAAGTCACGCCTGAGTAAGGCTAATTTTTATTTGTCCGGATGCATGATTCACGTCCAAATATGCACATTAGCAACTTTAGAGGTACAAGCTACAAACTTACAGGTTTTTGTTTCAGTACAATCTCGGCGATCAGCCATTGCGTAAGGCTGAGTGGCGGTGTAAGGCTGTGAGATTGAGGCCAGAAATGCCCTAAACATCCGTAGCTAATGAGAGTAGGGAGCTGCTTCGCAAATATAGCGAACATTGCTGGAGGGAACGAAAAAAAACAGTTTGCGGTTGAAACCTTCAGCCCCATGTGAGTTGAAGGTTTCGGAGACTCAACAACGACTCAAAGACACGATTTCTGGCGCCGTCTTCGTCGGAAGATCGCTGCAGGAGACAAGAGTGATCCGGTTCCGGCGGTGACGCCGGCGCGCCCGTCCGCCTAACCCCGTCCCTAGTCGGTGTGCGTTTTGGGCTCCGTCCAGAGCTCGTCCCAGTCCCCGTGCACGGATGCGAGCGCCGAGAACATGGCCTTCTCCTGGCCATGCTGCTCATCCGACCGATACGTGACGGCGTACGACGTGAAAAAGTCCTCGGCGAACTGCGTCACGTCCTGCGGCTTCCACAGCAGCACCGCCTGCAGGAAGTCGGCCAGCAGACGGCGCACGTCCGGCTGCTCCCGCAGGTATCGCTCGAACAGCGCGCGCAGCTCCAGCTTGCGGTCGGTGAATGCGGAGACCAGCTGCAGGTCCAGCTCCCACTGCAGCGGCGGCCGCTCGCGCGTCAGGTGCAGCGCCTCCGTGCGCACCGGCCACGCATGCACGGCCCGCGCTACCAGCCTGCCATCTCTCGTCAGGTGGATGAAGCTCTCGCTCGTCGCGCCGCCGCGAGAGAACGTCTTGACGAGGCGGACGCAGCGGTCGGCGCCGGTGGCTTCGTCGAGGGGCACCCAGCCGCGGCTTTGCAACGAAAACGGGTACAGCCGGCCGGTGATCTCGACTGCTGTACCGTGCACAGCCAGCTGGTAGTCCAGCAGTGCAATCAGTCGCTCCAGCACGACCAGCGCGCCCTCTGAGTACAGGAAGCGCATCTTGACGCGGTTGAGCCTGTAGAGCCGCTCCAAGGGCTCGTGGCCGGTGGCACCCTGGCGCACCTGCAGTGCGAACTGATGCCGCTCGCGCACGAGGTGCAGGTGACGCCAGCGCTGGCCGCCGTCCGGCCAGCTGGCGGTCTGCTTCCAGTGCTGCTGCACCGTCTGCAGGTCGCGGTCGACGGTCGCCATGAGCTCGGTCTTGACTTCGGCCTCCTCCAGCCGGTAGTTGCGGTGCACGAGCACGCAGAGCGTGGCCGCGCCGTCCGTTTCGGTCTCCTCGACGGAGGTCATCTGGAAGCCGAGCGGCGCGGTGCCCGGCGGCGGCCGGCAGAGGCCGTGTACCGCTAGTCGCTCCTGGAAGCAGACCCGACCCCAGTCGATCAGGTCGGGCCGCTCCAGGAAGCCCACTGGAGCCGCTGCCAGGTTCATGACGCCGCGGCGAGCTGGCCCGATCTCGGAATCACGGCAGAGGCAGCGGTGGTGAGGCGGTGCTGGTGGAAGGAGACGCTAATGCTGGGCTGATGCCGCACGGATGGTCCCACAGATGAAGGTGCATTGCAGAGTTTTGCACAGGCTTAGGCAGAGGAGAAAGACACTTTGCTGTTTTCCTTTGTGTCGATAAAGAGTGCATGTTACGTTAAACAAAGAACAGAAATTGGATTATTTATTTATGGAAATCGTGATTTTTATACCTTGCCACCTCTGCCCTTCGGTTACAAGACGAAACTGTTCTTAAATCCCTTTTCGTCTTAAAGGTTATACGGCTGCGCCTTCACATCTAGCGAAAATAGCATTAAAACTGTGATGGCAGCACTACTTAATGCTAATGGATATTTAAAGAATGTATCCACGTATCCGGACTTCATTAATGACCGCAACACCATTTTCTCCACAGCACATCGTAGAACCGTTCGTTATTGTAGCGACGTGCTGCCGTATTCGCCCCCGTGTCCGGTAACGCACCGTCTCCTCCGCAGACTACCTGCGCGGCCTGCTGATGCCGGAGCCGGCGGCCGACTCGTGCACCGAGGTGTGCGGCCACGATGGCGGCATCCCGATAGTGCGTGTGCGCAGCGCCGAGGAGACGGAGGCGGCGCACGACCTGCTCCAGCTGGCCATGTCGGCGCCGGCGCCGGCGCACAGTCCCCGCCGCGAGCAGACGTACGTCATCTACACCGGCGCGCCCGCCTTCTCCGACTACGGGTGCGGCGGCGAACCGGACTCTCGCGGCGAGGAGGACTCCGCCAGCAGCAGCGGCGACAGTGTGGGCGTCGGAGGCGGCGGCGGCGGTGGCGGCGGCGGGGGCGGGCCGCTCGCGCCGGCCGCCCAGGCACACCTGCTGCGAATGCGGCAAGACGTACGCCACGTCGTCCAACCTGTCGCGGCACAAGCAGACGCACCGCAGCATCGACTCGCAGGGCGCCAAGAAGTGCCCCACCTGCGGCAAGGCGTACGTCAGCATGCCGGCGCTGGCGATGCACGTGTTGACGCACCAGCTGTCGCACAAGTGCCATGTCTGCGGCAAGACGTTCTCCCGGCCGTGGCTGCTGCAGGGCCACCTGCGCTCGCACACGGGCGAGAAGCCGTACGGCTGCGCGCACTGCGGCAAGTCCTTCGCCGACCGCTCCAACCTCAGGGCTCACGTCCAAACACACTCGTCCATGAAGACCTTCGTCTGTCGTCATTGCAATAAGTCGTTCGCGCTTAAGTCCTACCTAAACAAGCACTGCGAGTCCTCGTGCACTCGCCGGTAAGCGGTCGCCTGCCGGGCCACCAGGCTCGAACTGCGCTGACGGTGGCGTTATCGCATCCGCACCTTTGCTCCATCAACGACTCCGCGGGGAGCGAGAGAGTCGCGCGGCAAACAACACTCCTGCGAGAGCCATCGCTCCGAACTGCCGGCGGACCCGAGGGAGGGGACATCACAGCGTCAGTTCTTGGATGCCCGGCTCTTGACCACTCTCGGAACCCCGTGCGCGTGGAGCCAATACTCAAGCCGAGTCCAGGCACCAAAGCATCAAGTACTTAGTCTCCTAGGCTAGTGCTGAAGATGTAGGTTTGCCTTAGCACTGTCCGCGCTTTACTCTGGTCTCAAGTGAGTCGGAGCTTGCTTTTCTAGATTCAAAGTATTTTTCATATCTGCAACATTTTTAGAGTGTTCAAATAGCAAGTAAGCAATGCCCAGCTATATCTTTGTCCGCGTGTTTCCTTTGGGAAATCTCATCAGCTGACAGAACGTTATCGAAGTCTAGTCACTACGAACGCGCAATACTTAGCGCAAGCATTGCACGTCCGCGAGGCCCGCTAGAAGGTTCGGACCCGTTAGTTCCTGGTCGAGGCAAAACGGATGCTATAATAGTCAGCAATAATCAATGTGGAATCAACAGTGCGACTAGCTCAATTGATGTATAGATATAGGTATTTTTATATGGCAAGTTTTGTTCGGTGTATTTTGATGCTTTATCAATACTCGAAATTGATGTAATATGTGTCCTTATGAGTACCATAAGTTGTTATAGGCGGTTCATGTCATGCATGCTACATGCTACATGTGGTTTTCTAGAAACGATTGTCGTAAAATTGGTCGATTAAGAGCGGAACTGTGTTCTTTCTTTTGAATTTCAGCGTCGTTCCACATGAACTTGACGACATTCTAGGCACGTTGTTCAAACTATCTAGATTATGTGATAGCTACCGAAGGCTTCTGAGCTCTGCTTAGCACCAGCGACAACATTTGCATGGGTTAAAGGGGCTTCAGCTAAAACAAGGAATCATTGTTCGCTGTCACTAAAATTTCAAAGTAGAGCAATACATCATGTTGAATCAACCACAGATGCACGGGTGGTGCTCTCAATGATACGCCATTATGAATGGGAATGGCCCTTTTATTTATTAATTGCCGGTGAAGTAATGTCAACTTTGATGACACCACGTCATTGATGACGAATGGGTCTAGAAAGTAGAAAACTGTACAAACTCGGCCCAAATAAGCTCGGTTATCTATGGCTGGTTGTATTCTGCGAGGTTAAGGCAATGCATTTGCACGTGCAACCAGTTGTTGAAATTTTTGTCTGGCTGACCCCGTCGAGGCGCATGAGAGCCAAGTCCATGATTGTACATAACTCACCAGTTTCGAACACACGTCTAGCACTCATGAGATGCCGACTAAAGATTAATAAGATTTCCAGCATATAGCTTAAGAAATGAATACAAAAACCTTGCAAAAATTAAAGGGCTTTTTATCTAAAATTTGTGTCATAAACATTATCGACCTGACATAGCGTTGAACGTTCTCATTTCTCATTTCTCTGCGTCCATAAACATGCATCACGAGCAACGAAATGCGGTGGTCAGAAGATAGCAATGAAACAAATCATCTAGTTTTGCAAATGTCCATTATCATCGTGCGGTTTTAAGGTATGCACGTTTTACTTTGCCGGCCGTACCGACAAGCGTTTTCTTTTGGCCAGGCTGATGAGTGCTCTGACATGCATCTTTGACTTTTATGTGATGATGTAATAGGTATGCGCTAACACAAGCTCTAAATCACGTTACCTTGCTTTCCTGAACGTTCATACGAAACGACCGTTACTGTCCCAGGGGATTTCATATATCGCTTTCATTGTGTGTACCGTGTAGGTAAAGTACACTACATTCCGTGCCGGTTTTTGCTGTGTATATGAATGATCGAAAAAACAAGCTGCCCTTTCTGCTTAAGGCGTTATCGTTGCTGATCTCTAAGATGCATGTTGTCTTTACGTCTGTATTTGTGTGAAAATTAGTTATAAAACTTTACAAGCCTTTATGGAAGTTGTCTCGTGAAAATATTTGCCGGGGCATTCACACGACATTTCTGGCCATCTGGAATCAACCCATTGTTGATTTATATCGAATGAGTCATATCGAGTCACGCGTGTTCATTAACTTCATGCTTGGCATTGAGTCCGTTCTCAGTGGCAGAACGTGACACTGTGTTAGTGTTTAATATTGAAAGCTTTCTTTGGAGTAATCTCCTAGCTGTCCTTTTTCGCCGTGCCATGTTTTGTTGTCTTTTCTGCGTGCAAATGCAAGTTCATCTTTTGCCTGGTATGCTTTATTTCCAAATCAATGATGCATAAATGACTAACTAATGCATCGGTAAGTAGACATGTGTCTCAGAGAATAACAGATTATACTACTGACTGAATTCCAACAGCATATTTGCAAGTATCACCTGACGGACAATTATAACAGTAGTTCGGACTTAAAAGATTATGGCTAACACCTTTAGTCATAGACATCAGTTCCAATTAGTTTTTTGTCTCTAATCATTATTGCTCGCAAGGTATATATTGCTACTTTTTATCTGCTGTTGAAAAGTTACGCTATTCTAAAAATACTGCTTGCACTGGTTCAGTACTGCCCCATTATAACTTGGGGCTTCGTGTCTCGTAACCAACCTCTATTCACTAAAAACGGGTTCTAATTTTACACCGCAACTTATTCGCTCATGTTTTAAGCATAGTGAAGAGGATATGTCTCTGGTCCAAGTGTGCATCCTACGCTGTGTTTTCTGAGTACTGCAAACGATGCATTTGTTCTGAATTGGGCAAACGTATATGATTCGCATAGGATACCGTGATTTCTTAAGAAACTGACGTACGCCGGCGGGTTAAGTGCGGTTGATGCCTTAGAAAATGCTACGTCTTTTTCGATAGTCCATTGCAAATTCTATTGATCTCTGCCCATTGCACTGTTCCATCTTTGTGTGAGACTGTACGTCACGACGTCACGTTTCATGAATGCGTTACTGGCGTGGCGCACATTCTAGTTTTGACATCCTGAAGTTGTTTGCGTCTCTTCGTATTCCGTGTGCCATCGAAATGAGAACTGAGGTGATACAATGTGCATTCTATGTGTTTGATTAACCGTATAATGGGAGCAGACTTCATTGGGCAAAGCTACACCCATCTGACAAGCGTGCCGTGTTTTCTTTGGTGACGTGACTTCGTGTTGGAATATGTCTCTCACAGCGTTATGAATAAAAATTGTTTTTTGCCGTTTGCATCTCGCACAGAATCAGGAAAGAAAGGAGAGTGCAGACTCATGTTGTGCAACGGTACGAAGATATCGGCGAAGTGTGTGTCCGAAGCGTCCATGCCGTTAGGTCTGGCGTAACTCATAGCGAAGGGCTTATAACTCTATAGAGCAACGATTACTGAAAAACAAATCAAACATTAAGACGCTGTGCTTTGGAAGCTTTTTTCAGAATAATGTTACGAAAAAAACGTAGTTTTCTCCAGAAGCGTGCAAGCAGCTTGATCTGTCTTTCTTCATTTTGTGGTTTTGGAAGGTGGTGGTCTTGTGGTTTTGGAAGGTGGTGGTTTTGTGGTTTTGGAAGGTGGTGGTTTTGTGGTTTTGGAAGGTGGTGGTTTTGTGGTTTTGGAAGGTGGTGGTTTTGTGGGTCTTTCACGAGGAAACTCGCCGGAAAACCGGAAATGATCCACTAGGTGGTCTTAAAACTCGCGAAGACGACTCTACGTTTCATTTCATACGATACCGAGAAATCCCAAAACATGGTGTCATAACGTTTCAAGTTCCTGTCTCAAGCAGTAAAAGATCACAAAATCAGGGGCGGATCTTGTGGGGGCCACAGGGTCATGCCCCCTCTCCCGGGCCTCTAAGGGGCCAGGGGGGCATGGATTCGAAGGGGCTATAGGTTCCGAAGGAGCTCAAAGTCGGCCGAACAGGTGCAGTTTTTTAACACAAAGCGCAACAAAATTGGACGTCTTTAGGCTGGCAGGTGACCAAGAACAGCTGTAAGTGAAAGTGAAGGGCCCACGAGAAGACAGATTGCTTCCAGCGATCGAAGTTGTTAATTGGGAATTTAAAACCTCCTTACGCTATCCAGGGACCCTGTGCTGTTTCTGGGGGACCCATATACCCACATGCAGGGTCATTCCGATCGTTAAAGAGACCTCCTCGCTGCCCTTGATTTCTTTGCATTTGATCGGAAGGCCCCGCGCTGTTGCTGGGTCCTTCCTGCTGGCGTGCCGGGGCGCTCTTGTCAATCAGGAGCCTTCCGTGGATTCTTTACATTCGCCAGACAGGCTTTGTAAGCTATAGCCGGGGTCCCATATGTTTACCTGCCGGATATTCCCGGTTGCTTGGGGGCCCTTTATGTTGGTCTAAGTTCTACCAACACACTCGCGATATGCTCATGGGCCCTCTACATTGGTCCTGGGCGCTTCCAATTTTCTATCGCTTGCTTAGGACCCTACGCTCTTGTCGGGGACCCATCTGCTAACCTGCTTGGGCACACCCAGTCATTCGGGGCCCTTCAAATTGGGTCTTGATATTCAAATGGAGGGCTCTTCACAGCTGTCGGGCCCCATCTGTTAACCTGCTCGGGCACACTGGATTGACCCTACGGTCCTATCGAGGACCACCTGATTGCCTGCTCGGGTGCACTTGATCTTTCGGGGGCCGTCCACTGTGGGTCATAGGTATTTTTTTTTAATCGGCCACTACGCTTTGCCGGGGGTCTGTCTGATAACCTGCTCGGGAACACTCGCTTGTTCGAGGGCCCTTTACATTGTGTCTTGGGTACTTCCTCTTTGAGTTGAAGGCCTTGAACACTTGTCGGAGCCCCTCTGCTCGCCTCTTTGGTCATGCTGGATTGTTCGGGGGCCCTGTGCATTGGGTGTTGGAGTTTGAATTTAAGGTCCAACGCTCCTGTCGGGGGCCATCTTGCGCTCTTGACGGGGCCTTACTTTTTCGCTTGCTCGGGCAAACTTGATTATTCTGGGCCCTCCATGCTGTGTCTTGGGTACCTCGTATTTGAATGGATGGCCTTATGTTCTTGGTGAGCCCCATCTATTAAGCTGCTCGGGCCGGTAGCGGATACAGAGGGGAAGGCGCAGGACCGTGCCCTCATGGAACATGCCGAGGGGACCCATAGGCTCCTAAACGGCCCATAACCGACTGAACGGACGCAAATTTCTCCCACACCAAAAAAAAAAACAACATAAAATTGGACATTTTTGGGCCCACAGATTTCTAAGAACGGTTGCAAGCAAAAGAAAAGTTAATAACCAGACAAAGTTAATCCTTCTCTGACTGAGAGGGTGTTGATTGGAGGGAAAATTTGGGGCCCATCACGCTGTCCAGAGGCCCTGTGCTACTGCCTCGGCCCCATATGTTCACTTGCCGGGTAAATCTAATCGCTACCAACGCTGTTGTTGGGACACTATCTGCTGTTGGGACATTATCTGCTGTTGGGACACCATCTGCTCACATGTCTGGTCACTCTCGATCGACCAGGTTTAACTCCACGCTTTCTTCTCATGCGCCCGAAAGGCTCTATACGCCTTTTCCGGGGCCCCATATTCCAGGGTACACTCAGTTGTGCAGGGGCCCTTCATATTAGTCTCGGATTCTTTTCACTTGCTGGGGGGGCCTTGCGCCATTGCTAGGGCTCATATAAGGTAAGGCATCGAGACACTCGAGACTTTTCATTCCTACTGGGCTCTTTCTGTTAACCTGCCCGGGCACTCTGCATCGCGCAGGTGTATTAATTCACGGTCAATTCTTAATTCTTGGATAGTTCGTCTTTGCTCAGAGGATCCTATGCTCTGGCCAGAGCCTTATATGTCAGCCTGTCGGGGCGCCACCGGTGGTTCAGCGGCCCACCACGTCGGTCTTGGGTTCTTTGCGCCTGCTCTGGGGCCCTATGCTTGTTGACGGGATTCCCCTTGCTGGCCATATGCGGCACCCACGACCGCTCAGTTCACGTCCTTATTGGCCTTAGTGCCTTAGCCTCAGAGCAGCAGTCGGAAATGCACCGATGAATTTTTTACGCGTAACAGGCGAACGTAATTGTACGTGTCACCGGCGTCGTATGTGTCATTTCCTTGG